TAGCGCAAGGATTCAGGAAACACGGCAGAGGGGAGGGGAGGACAGTTATTAATAACTCCCCATCTGATTTCACATTTTCTGTCCCCTGCCCCCGGGGCGGGGGTCCTCGCGCCAAGCGCGCAGTCCCCCGCGCCTGCAGGTGCTGAGCTGGGCTGCAAGCCTCAGGTCTGCCGCGGGCCGGTGGCCTGGGGAGGTCTAAGCAGGCTTGGCTGTGCGCCTTGCTCCAGTAGAGGAGTTAGATAAAGCCAAACCTAAGATTTCCCAAAACTAGCACTGCAAAGCCTCCACAGTACTCCTAACAGGAAACAAAACAACAAACCAGCCCTGGGCCTCCAGTGACCTCCATCCCCACATCCACTCAGCAGGGCTGGCGCCTGGAAACAGGCACCTCTGGATTTCAAGGGCTTGGGAAAGAGGAGGCGCAGGGAAGGGCGGACTTCTCTAACACCCAGGGTGTGTGTGGGGGGTGTGTGTGTCTTCTTGCAGATAGTTAAGAGTAGAGGTGCCGGCACCTGGGAGGACCCCCTTGCGCGCCTCCCTGTCTGGTTCCAGAAGACAGGCGTTTTCCAGAGGTTCTTACCAAGAGTCTAGCTCTTCAGACCAGTGCCTCCCAGGCCTGCCTCCCAGGGCTGCCTCCCAGGCCCCTGGGTCCCTCCCTCCCAATCAAGGTAAATGAGGGTTCCAGGCTGGCTTTCCTTCCAAAAAAGGAGATTCTTGGCAGCCTGTAGAAAAGCAACCAGCTTGCAGAAGGCAAGCACGTGGGCATCAACATTCGAGGCCCGGCTTCCTCCCCACAGCTAGCTCCTCCAGGGCAGGGCTCCTTCCTCCTGCCGTTTCACCCCATGGTCCTGGAACAGTGGCTGGCAGTGTGTGCAGAGGAGATGCCCAATACCTATTCATCGAATGAATGCTGTCCAGTTTTACCTCTCAAAATTCCAGGACTGCAAGCAGGTCTTCTGGAAGGGAAATATGGAAGCTTTTCTCTGGATGGCTCATAGGACCCTCTCACCAGTGAAACTGCGTAGGCATTACTTGTGGGAAAGAAAGTGAAGACATTATGATCTACGTGTAAAACTCTTTTTACAATGGCTGTGCATTTCTTTTGCTAATTAATTCTTGCCACCATGCATTGGACTCCTTTCCTTTTCTGCAAGCACAAACAGTAAGCACAAGTTTTAATATCTGAGCTAGACTTCCATTCCTTCTAGTAAACACATGCTCAGGCCTGCCAGGGTTTCCTTCTCCTGCTGCAGAACCTTGCTTTTGTAGAGGCACCACAATGTCTGACTGCTGCTCTGTGCTATAAATAGTCCCCTGGTGGATCGAAAGGTTTAATGGGCCTCTTTAAATACCTAACTTAGTATAAAGCCCCGGGAGAATCACATTAACAGGCAAAGAAGAGGAAGAAGAGAGCTCCCCCTGTAGATGCCCTATTACAGCATTCTTGGAGATCCGGAACAGGCAGGACTTTTCCTATTTATATACATTAATGTGCATGAGAAGCCGCAGCACGCTGGCGCCAGGAGGGGCTGTGGCGGTGAAGCGGTGCATCTAAGCCAGGAGGAGGTGGCACTTAAAGAGGTCAAGTGATTTGCCCAGAATTACCCAGGGGCATCGTGACTGTTATCAGTAATAATAAGAAGTCAGAAAAATCAGTGGATGCTTTGTCCTGTTTTTAAACACATCAGATAGTCCTGTTTAAGAGCAAGGAACACCCCCACC